ACTCCAATTCAGAATAGACCTCGGTAAAAAGGGGGTTGGTCGTTGTAATAGGCTCTTGGTTTTAAAGCAGTTTCTTTGGCTTTGTTGAGGTGAGGGTTGACAGTTTGCTGGACTTGATTTTCTAATTGGATTGTTTTGTTAGTAATAGGGTCTTTGACCCAATTCTTTCACTTTTCTGACATTCAGTCTTTAACGGCTGATTTGATTCCTAAGTCTATACCGGTCATAATTTTATTTTTTTTGTTTTCTTAATTTGCTATAAATCGGAGGGGTTATTGGCTCTCTCTCTCTCTCTCTCTCTCTCTCTGTTATCATCATTACCTTTACCAGTTTTTTTATTTAGTTCAGTTTCTAAATCCTCAACAAACTTTCTGCCCTCCTTGTATTTGGCACTATTTTTGTCTCATTCTTGGGCTAACTCTTGACAAAATATTTTAATTCAATGCTTATACTTATTTACCTCCTCTGGCATTAGATTAGTTTGGTTTTGTAGTTCCTTTATTTTTTCAGAATAAGAATTATCCTTAATAGTAATATTTTTATCTTTATGATAAAAAAATCTATATCTTTCATTGTTATTACGCTCTAATTGTTTATTATCTATAAAGGATATTTCGTAAGGATAAATATTTTCTGCTTCCGGTCAAAGGGTTTTTCAATCATCCGTAATTTCTCCAATTTTCATTTCTGGTAAACTAGGATGACCTGACTGAACCATTATCTCCCATTTAGGAACTTTTTTTCCATTATCTATTACCGTTTCTTAGGAAACAAAAATGTCAAACTCGCCTCCCATTGAACTTCATTGTCCGTTTGTTCTAGCCAAGATTTTTATTTTTGTCATACTTTTATGGGGTTTTGTAGGGTTCTGTAAGTGATTTAAGGTCAATGCCTAACATTCCTTTTATGTATACAACAAAAAAACAATAATCACAACTTCACTCAAATCTCCTTTTCGTTTTGTGGGGACATGGTAATAAACTATTTATTTTGTCTCTGTCTAATTCTCGTAGCATATATAATAAATTATAGTAAACTAACCATAAACTAACGAGTAAAAATAATAAGAACTAAATGCGTTCACTATGTAAATAAACTCGAAACAATAATCTCTTTTTAGAGTTCTGAACTGCTTGTCAATAAACTTCCTTGTTTTTATAAATCTCACGAAGGCAATCATTATACCATTCTTGGTCTCTTTTGTTCTCATCCTCAGTTCAATAACCTCAGTTATTTTTTTGACTATAAGATAACCGTGAGATAACGAACTTAACAAAAAACTCTTTTCTACATTTCGAACAATTAACTTTTTTAGGAGAGGGGAAGCCAAGTTCACTTACTGATTTTATTTTTTTATTTTTTACTTTCATAGTTCTTTAAAAAAGCGGAAATTAAATATCGCAATTTGTAATAATTGTATTACTGTCTTTAATAAACCACCTTTTACTGGATATAAAGTAGGTGATGATGTGGTTATTGACACTGAGGCAGTAGCTAGTCACCCTCAAAGTGCTGTTTTTGGTGAGAATGTGGTTAGTAAAGTAGGATTTTAAGAGTTGTTTGCAGGAAATTAATCTTCACTTTTAATAATCATTAAAATTAACTATTATGGTAAACTGACAAAAAATACACCCAGATTTTACCCCAGAATTACAAAAAGAATGAGAAAGCAAAGGGTTCAGTTATGAACAATGTAAGGGATGAGTTGATGCATTGGCTTTATTGTCACTGAGCAAATGAATACTTGAATTGGATATCGACCTTGACTTTTGTGTTTGGTCACGAGACAACAAAGAACTAAGTGCAAAGCAAATAAATGATGATAGCATAGGTGAACTATGAGAAGAGTATAGTAATTATTTATGAAGAAATGTTTTTCCAGATTTCACAGAAGAATTGCAAAAAGAATGAGAAGATAGAGGGTTTGATTATTACGATTGTAAAAAATGAATTAATTATGGTTGTCAACCTCACGAAGCCGAATTGGCTGATTATTTATATTGTTGCCAAGAACTCGAACTTGATAAAAATATCGAAACAGCCAGAACAGAATACCCCAAATGAAAAGAACTAGGTTTTGATTTAAAAACTATAATATTGTGAAAAAAACAAGGCTCTACTCCTGAACAAGCCAAAGAATGTTTAGAGTTTAATTTAACTTACTCATATTACTTTTATTATTGTTGGTTAAAAAATAGTAAGCAACTAACTCCTGAACAGGTTTTGGGTAACGAACAACGGCTAAGAGAAGAATTTAATAAGGTTTCCATAACAACTCAGCGATGGTTAGAACAAAATTACCTTGATAAAGAAACATCTAAAATATACCTAAACCAACAACTAGAAGGAATGTTGGATTGTAGTGAATACAAAAGTTTGTACACAAGATATTATTAGTGTTCATAAGGATAAATAAAGTTACTTACTATATTATTAATTTTAAAAAGAAGTAAGTGGAGTAGGAATTGAGTTAAAAATAGTATTATACTCTGATGCCAAGACTTAAAGTTAATGCTAATGGCTTTCCGAAACCCTTAAAAGTAAAGTGCTTTCAGTGTCACACTAACTTTTTTATTAAGTATGTAGTTCCTAATAAGTCTTATTCTAAAAAGAACAATTGAGAATACTGAACTAATCCAGTTGCTAAAGATCCTGACTTTTGAAAAAATAAGCAAGAACGCCAAAAAGATAAACAAATTTGCGATAGTTGTTTACGAAACTTTTACTATAATAAGGAAGTTTACTGAGAAACGATTACGGATTTAAAAAGAAGGGCTAAATTGTGCACTTATATTCACGATGGAACTATTACTGCTTAAAAGCCTTAACATTAATAAACTTTGACCGCAGTGAGTGATAGTAGTTGGTTTATTATTAGTAGGATATGGTCTTTACCTGTCTCTAAACCAAGCAAAAATTACTAATATTTATGACTAATTCACAAAAAAAAACAGAGATATTAGAAACTTGAACTAATTTAAAGAATAAACTAAGTAAATTAGTATACTTAGATCAGAATAAAGGACTAATTAAAGATGTTTTAGAGATTTATTTAAATCAGTCTAGTAGTTTTTTATCAGAATATAATGATCCTGCTTATCATGGTATAGAAGCTACTGCAGAAGTTAAAAGAGCTTATCAAATCCAAAAAGTAAAAAAACAAAAGATAGTTGAAGGGTGTAAAGAATTACTAAGTAAGTTAGAATAAATTTTATTGGATAAAATGCTTAATTTTAGGAGGGTTTTTTGAGAGGTGATGGTTTGGTATAAGAGGGGGATTAGTTAATGGATATTAAAGAGTAAATAGTTATTAGAAATAAATAATTTGTAATTGTTTTATTATACAAAGTATTAAAAGGAGAGTTTTTAGACTCCCCTAGGTTATTTAGGTGGTTGTTCGATTTGAGCCTGTTGTTGTTCTTGTCAGTAAGTAAAGAATTCTTGGTTTAGTTGTTCTAAGTTGTAGTGGTTGAGAGTTTGTTCAGGGGTCAAGCGTTTGGTGTCTCTTAGTCAAGAACAGAAGTTATAGTCAGTTGGTTGTAATCCGATATTTATTCAGTTTTGGGTTTGTTGAGGGGTAAAATTATGGGATTGTCAAGATTGAATTAGTTCTTCGGTGAAGTTAGGATTAATGTTTTGTCAACTCGTTTCTTTTTCGTGTGCTTTCAAGTAATTATCAAGTTTATCAAGTTTAAATTCCATAGATTTAGAATTTCAGAATTGCTCATTAATTTCTTTGCTGTTTTGAGGTTTAGGAAGATTCTTAAAGTACAATAGGCGACTGGCATAAGTAGTCGTAGGATAAATTAGAAATGATTGGTTTTCTTTTCAGTTATGTAAATTCTTTTCTCTTTCTTCTTCTCATTTTCATTTACTATATTTATATGTTGCCGTTTCATCTGGCAAACTCCACTCTCTTTCAAAAAATTCTAAACAGGCATTTAAACTATTTTGGAAATGCAAATCTTTTTTAGAGAACTCTGCGAATTCTAGTGGCACTTGTCCTTCTTTTACTTTTGTTTGTATTTCCTCCTCTTCCAAGTCAGTGATTAGAGGAGTAGCATTTTGTTTCAGTAAGGAATGAAAATATTTGTCTAAGTTAAATTGCTTATTAACTTCTGACACTGCATGAAGTCCGAGCCTTTCCTTTTCATCACTTTCTTGTCCCTGCAATGCTTCAACTTCTACAAATGATTTATTCTTTCCTTCTCACTTCTCTAATTGACTACTAAAATTTTTGTCTCTTCCCCTTTCCCAATCACTTAAAATCTCATAAATTTCATTGGCGGTAGGTCTCTGTTTCGGATCGGAGTCTCAACACTGCTTAATTAGGCATTTTATCAAGTGTGGTGCTTGAATAGCATTCGAGTTTGGTCGTAACCCTTGACATATTCTTAGTGCAAGAAGTTCAGTATCAGGTATATCATGATATGGAAGAAGTCCAGAGAATAATTTATGAGCCACTATTCCAAAAGAGTAAACATCACTAGCCTGAGTATAAGGCTTGCCAGTTAAAACTTCCGGAGCCACATAAGGCAACACTCCAAAAATCTTTCCTTCGCTTGGTTCATCAGCCGGTCGGCACAGTCCTAAGTCTGTTATATAACTTTTTCCTTTATTATTTAAAATATTGCCAGCATGAAGGTCTTTATGAATTAGTTTCGCTCGGTGAATATAATTCAATCCTTCTGCGATAGAGAGTAAGTTATTAAGTTTGTTTCTGAAAGTTAATCTGTTATATTTTTCTTTTAAGTATTTCCTTAGATCACCGCCTTCTATATACTCAGTGACCATTATGTAATTGTTGGTCTTAGGGTCTCGGGAAATACCAAAGCACCGAACAATAAAGTTAAAAAAAGAACTTGTGCCACTGGCTAGTTTATGAAAGGTTATCTCCTGTAAAAAATCAGCACTCATGCCTTGCGAACTATTCAAAATTTTTAAGGCAACCTTTCCTTTATCTCCTCATTCTGCTACGTAAACCTTACCAAATCCTCCTTCCGCTAGATACTTGGAATCAGAAAATTGTTCGTAAGGAATCCACTCCAGCATCCCATAAGGAGAAGTGGCTATTAATTGAAATGTTTGAATAACTTCATCAATTTCTTGGCTACCACTTGTCCAATTCTTAAAATTCTGCTCAAAATGCTGTGAATTGCAAGAGTGACATCAAAAAAGACCGGTATTAGGTTGCTGACACTCGTTGCACAATCCATATTTTTTATACCTTTCTCTTAATTTTTCACTAAGTATTAATTGATCGACTAGTGTTCTCTGTTCAGAGGATGAATGAAAGTAAAGCGAAAAATCTTTTATTTGTTTGATAACTTCTGTGCTAATTTGGGTTCCTTTTGATACTTCAATTAGATGCTGCATATATTCCTTTCTTAACTTTTCCTTGTCACTATGGTTCAAAATTAACTCAGGATCTTTATTATTTTTGGCAATTTTCAGTCATTCAGCAAAATTAGGCTTTGAACCTTTTGCTACTAAGTACCTAGCTAAGTCAGCATCAGTAATTTTTATTCCAGCATCTATTCATTCTTTAGTTTGTTTATAATTAAATCCTTGTTCCTCCCACTCTTTTTGTATTTCAGGAGTAAAATCAGGATGGGTATTCTCTCACTTCTTCTTATAAGATTCACCATCAAAAAAAAATAAATCATTTGCACTTAATTGTTCAGCAATTTTTCTTACCTTACTTTCTGGTCTAAAACCAAAATGACAACAAATGGTTTGAATATTATCGCTTAAATACTCTAATCCGGAATCTACATCAGTATTATTAATTTCTAGACAGTCTAATTTGGTTAAACTTTTTAAAGGATCTAAGGAACCATAAAAGCGGTTGTAAGTATCATTATTGAACATTTCATTGTCGTTACCAATTCCTAGATATTGTAAATTAGTAAATTTGCTGAAAACCGATAAATCCTGTTTAGGAAAACTATTATTGCTAATACTCAAAGAAATCAGTTTAGCAGAATTTAAAAATGAATGATCTAAACTGGTCAAAAGGTTGCTAGTACAAATGATAATCCTTAGTTTGTCTAAGCCAGTGCAGTCTAATTTAGTTAACCTATTATGACTGCAAATAAACATTTCCAGTTGATGACAGTCATTTACATCTATCTCACTTATCTGATTGAAAGAGCAATTTAATTGCTTTAAATTAATGAATCCCTGCAAGGACAAAGAACCAGTTAATTTTTCCTTTCTCCCTTGTGAATTATGCTGCCAATGATAACTAGAAATGTCTAGTACTCTGCAATTAGCTTTATCCTTAGGGGTAGGATATTTTTGATTAATATATTCTTGAGCATTCGTTGTAACCTCCTCCAATTCCTGCTGGTCTTCCTCATTTATGACTGTCAAAACTTCCTCCAATCCTCCAATCTCCTCCATATTGACAACTTTTTTATTTGCCTCTAACTTTCCTAGAATATTTGCCTTTTCTTTTATCATCTCACTTATTTCATCATTCAGTTTATTGATCGTTTTTAAACAGTCTGCTATTTTTAAATTTATTTTTCCCTTTTTTGCTGGATTTATTATTCTTCTTATTCGAGAATTATGTAAAATTATGAGTTTTTGGTTTAATAATTGAAGTTCTGAGTTTGTTTCCTCCAAATTTTTTTCTTTATTTTTTAATAACTCCTTAATCGTTCCTAATTTTTTTTCATATTCTTCTTTTTGAAAATTAATGTCTTCTTGATTTACCATTTTAATATTTCTTTTTCTTGCTAACTATAAAGATAACAATGACTAGTAATGTTCCAATTACTCCACAACCAATATAAAGAGTAGTTTTATCACCGGATTTAGCATTAGTAGTAAAAGAATTGTTTTTTCCCCCCAGTAATTCATTTAATTGTTTTCTTTTATCTACTAATAATACTTCTTCAGCCTTAGTTTTAGTAGATTTATTAGTTAGGACTTTTATTTCTTTCTGTAAGATGGTAATTTGAGTATCTAACGGTAAAGGTTTAATTAGTTCTTTAGCTTTAGTCTCTAAAACTTTTAATTGTTGTTTTTTAGAGTCTAATTCTTGACGACTATTAGAATTAGTAGGATTTTGTTCTAAATTCATGATTTCAGAAAGTAATTGTTGTAGTTGAGTGAAATTACTCCTTTTTTTACTTATAGGAGTATTTAGTAAGTAGTGTCATGTCATATAATAATATTTTACTTCAAACTACACAAAAACTACATTATATTACATTATTAGAGGTTTTTGATAGTAATTACAAGTTCCTAACTCTTTATTTTCCAGAGATTCATCCAAAACTAACCTATCAAGAGTTATTGGGTATTGTGGTACAAAATTTATAAAATTAAGTATAGAGAATAATAATCTATGAATAAATTGCCTATGGTCAGAAAGTGGAGAGATGCAAATTAACATAATCTTAAAATCAATTGCTAACTAATTTGCTATGAAGGCATAGCGACTGTAAACACACACGAACATTAATTAATAACATATGGTAAATATAAATACAAATGCACAAAAATGACTGGATGAAAAATATCCAATAGATGGAATATGTGAAAGAGATAATGATCTAGAAAACAAAGGTAAAACTAGAAAAGGTATAACCTTATTAGACATTCGAAAAGGTAAAGTTGGCAATGGAATATTTAATAGAAGTAAAAATTTGATAGAAGACTTAAAATTTGAGGGGTTTACTAACTTACGAACTTTAATAATTTCTTCTCATCAGTTAATTAGTTTAGATGTTAGTGAATGTAAAAATCTCGAGAAGTTAGATTGTCAAAACAATAAACTTACTAAACTAAATGTAAATAATTGTCATTATCTTAACGAAATCAACTGTTCGAGTAATCCCATTAGGGAGTTAAATTTAAGTATGTGTACTAATCTAAATGAAGTAGATATAAATAGTTGTTCGAATCTTAATATTGATAAAATAAAGTCATCGCTTTCGTTTGATAGCAAAAATAATAAATTAACAAAAAATGGACCGCAAATAACCCTGGCTAAAGAAGAGGATGTAAGAAATATACTAGTGATTGGAACAACGGGTAGTGGTAAATCCACCTTGGCCAATGTTTTAGCGAATGATAGTAAATTTGAAGAAAGAGATTCAACTACTAGTGTAACTAGCAAATTTAAAAGAAGTAATATTATCGAATGACAAAATAAGAAATATCGTGTAATTGACAATATTGGGTTTGGAGACACTAATAGTTTCACCATTATGGATATTTTATATGAAATAGGGAGAGGAATTTATGCAGCAGAAAATAAAATAAATCAAGTCATTTTTGTAATAAGTGGTAGGTTTACTTCTGAGCAAATTAATGCCTTTAACATATTTAAAAACTTCATTGCCGAAAGTAGAATTACTGAATTTACTACTATTGTTCGAACCCATTTTGAAGATTTTAGAAATCAAGAAAAGTGACAAGAGGATAAAAGCGATTTACTTGCTGAGAGTCAAGAACTTAGAAAGATGATTAAGTCATGTAATGGCATTGTCTATGTAAATAATCCTCCGATACCTATAATAGATGAAGAAAAAGATAGCGAAGGAGAAATAGAGGATAAAAAAGGGAGAATTTCTAGAAATGAAAAAAAGAGAAAAGAATCTAGGGAAAAAATATTTGATCATTTGGCAGAATATTGCCTAGAGGTTTATAAATTTAAAGAATGAAAAAAAATTCATAATTGAATTGCTGAAAAAATGAGAGAAATAGAAAAAATTCAAAAAGAAATAGGGAAAACAGATAACGATTCAAAAAAACTTAAACTTCAAGCAAAAATGAAAGAAGACAAAAGAAAATTTGCTGAAGAAATAAATGTCATGCTAGGGATTAAAATTGGTCTTAACCCTGAAGTTAATGCACAAGTAGAATTTGTTAACTGTTGTACCACTTCTTAAAAATGATCTTTATAGAAAAATTTATCTCATTATTACAACTATTTACCCATAAATAACTAAAACTTATAAAATAAAAAAATATGAAAGGACTAAAAAAAATATTCAAAAAAGTATTCAAAAAAAATAGCACTGAAGTTGAGAGAATACCTGTGTTTCACAATAATAATTTAGAGAATTTTTCATCTGAAGCAGTAATAGAAACAGAAATAAATGAAAGAACAAATAATGAAGAAGAAGAATTAATTGGGGAGCAAATTTTATTAGAAAATGAATCAAAAATTAAAAATTTTCTTCTCATTGGTGGAACCGGTAATGGAAAATCTACTTTAGCTAATGTGATAACAGGCACTAATAATTTCAAAGAAAGCAAAAAATCTGTTAGCAAAACGAGAAATATCCAAAGTGAAATGTTTGAGGAAAATGAAAATAAATACCTTATAATTGATACACCAGGTCTTGGTGATACACAATTAGCACTAATCAGAGTGCTGGATATTATAGCTGAAGCAGTTTATTTAGTAAAAGATGGCATTAGTCAGGTGCTTTTTGTTATTGGGAATAGATTTGGTCAAAATGAAATGGATACTTATAATCTACTAAGAACCATTATTTTTGATGAACATGTTACTAATTATACTACTATAATTCGTCCTTGTTTTGAGAATTTTAATAAAGAGGAAGAGTGCAAAGAGGATGTTGATCTGATGATAAGGAAAAAAGGTGAATTGGCAGAGATAATTGAGTCTTGTCAAAGGAATGTCATCCATGTTAATAATCCTCCGTTAAATATCGCTAGTGTTGATAATGAAAATGAAAATGAAAAGAAAGAAAGAATGGATGATATAAAATCAAACAAAAGGGCAAGAAATAAATCAAGGGTAAAAATTTTGGATAATTTGAGTAAATGTTTTCAAAAAGTTCCTTACAAACCCCCAAAATTAAAAAAATTAAGTACTGAAATTGTTGATTACATGGAAAATAAGAAAGAATTAGAAAAAAAGTTAGTAGATTTAAAAAGTAATATAATCAGAAAAAAAAAATTAATTAATAATATTACCGAAAGTCAAGAATTCAAAAATAAAAGTGATGCAAATAAAATTAACATAATTGATGATTTTGAGGAAAAAATTAAGCAATTAGAAAGCAAAAAAGAAATTTTAAATAAAGAAATAATAGTTAAAAAAGAAATTATTAGAAAAAAAGTATTAGAGCATATACTTAACGATATTGATAAATTAGAAGAGACCTTTGCTGAGAAAATAAAAAAAAAAGAAAATTGAACAAATATTCACAAAGCATTCGCTAATGAAGAGTTAGTCGAAAAATGAATAGATTATGGTTTTGATTATCAACAAGTTCAAGAGTGAACTAAGGATTTAGGAGAAAGTTTTAATCCCGATTGTTTTTCTTTATATGCTTGATTAAGGGATGAAAGAAATAAAACAGCTAAAGAAGTAAAAACACTTACAAATGAAGAAATTGCTAAATTATGAGAAGAGTTTCTTAATAATCTATCAGAAGAAGATGAAATGTTAGAGGAAGAACTAAGAATTATAAATGATTGGCAAAAACAGTGACCAGAACCAGCGACAACACCGATCGTGGTAATTATGCCTAATAGATAAAAACAAACGATATAGAGCATTATAGAAAGAATATCTTTATTTTTAGTGGTTTTTTAATAAATTATGTAAAATATTGTAATGTACAAAATTATTTTTTACTTTTTTATTATTAAAAACGAAAAGATATTAACCAAGTTAATATTTTTGAGAATCTTGTTTTCAAAAACGGACATTTAATTTGCATTTATAGTAATTAAAAAGTTCTAGTTTCTTGCTTATAAGGACTTAGAAAAAAACTAAACTATAAAGAATTATTAACATTATAACATAAATTGTAATATAAAATAAATTAAGGAGTTATGAGAGAATTTAATTAAATATAATTTTTGATTTATTATCAAGGAGTTGTGGAGGGTTTTTGCTCTCTCTCTCTCTCTCTCTCTCTCTTTTAATATAAATGAGTAAAGTAAAATAAATAGATACAAACAATTAGAAATGAAAAGTTTTATAAATTTAAAAGTTTCTGCATAACACGCAAACTTAATTTGTTAAAATATAAAATATATATCTACCAATAATTAATGTCAGTCTAATTCTCACCTAAACCCTCATATTTATTGAGGTTGGTTGAGTAAAAATATTGACATTTAATTTGAGTAGTGTATATAGGATAATTGAGATGATTATTGATTACTAATGCAATTAAATGGTAGTAATGGAGTAGGTAATAAAGTAAATAAAAATACTAATAAATAAAGTAATAAAGTAAATAAAATAGTAAAATTAAAAATATGGTTAATTGAAAAGATACTAAATATAAAACAATAAATGACATAAAGAATGAAAAAAAAGCAGATGGAACTGGTTTTTTTACTCCTGAAGAGTTAACTTATTTCGATGATCCTTTAATTGAAAATAAATTAAATAATGCCGCAAGTGTTGCTGAGTTGGTAGAAGAAGTTCAAAAGGGTGAAACTGCTACTAAAAAAGAACAGGCGTTATCTACTAAGTTGAATTCAGAGAAAACTAATGGAACTGTAGCTTTTCGAGTAGTAAATCGCCGTCCAAATTATAGAGTGGATAATGCTATATTTAGATTGTCGCTCTATTTGGGAAATTCCGAAAGAACTAAAGCGGAAAGGGAAACTAGAGTTACAGAAATAGATAAAAAAATTGCGGAGAATAATCTTCAAAGAGCTTCGAAAGAGAAAGTAAAGAGAGGAATGGAACTTACTTTAGGAGAAGCACTTGAAGAAAAGTCAAGAATGGAGAAAGTTCATAAGATAAATAATAATCTCCAAGTAGTTTTAACAGGTGCGGGTAAACTTATTACAGCAGATAAACCAGATGGGGTAGATATAAGTACTTTAACTGATCTATATAAAGTTAAGGATTATTCTATTGGTGATAATGTTCATAAAGATGATTCAACGACTATTACTGATATTTATGGAGGTGCTACAGGAAATACTGTTACAAACATTTTAGATCATGCTAAAAGTTTTTTGGGTAAAGTTAAGGATTTGAAGGCATCACTAGGCAACAAAAAATTTTTTATTCCAACTTCATTATCACTTTATAACGATAGAAAAATAAACTGTAAAAACAATATTTCGAATGGATTAGATGAGTTTGGAATAATGTATTTGAGTGTTTTGCGAAGTATTGGTTCAGAAAAACTTGAAAAGGTTATTGCGGCATCTGGCAGTAGCAAGAAAACCAAATTAGAAAAAAACATCAAAAAAATTACTAAATACATCTCAAAAATTGAAGCTAATGTTGGAGAAGAATTGACTATAAAGCAAATTACGGATTATGCTTTTGGACAAAAGGCTGTAGAATATGCAGACAAACAAGAGAGAAATGCTCAAAATTTTTTAAAAAGTAAACCTAGCGAGTTATGCGAATTACCTGATTGAAAAGCCATCTTTGAATTTATGAAAGAAGTATTTCCTTTAAAAACTGGCACTACTAGTTATGAATTAGCAGCTAAGCCTTACCTTGATGATATTAATGATGCTAATTTTTTAAAACCATCAACTACTGGTGATAAAGGTTGAAAAGATTTAACCTTGTGCGGGTATAGTTTTAATCCTAAAGAACCCTCCCTCAATGATAGTCAAAAAGCTTTAATTAAAACTCAGCATGATGCTAAAAATATTGAGAGCGATACTGATTTTAAAACCCTTACTAAAATGTGATGAGAAATTTTTGGTCCTTTCATGGAAAATAAAACGGATTCGGATCTAAATGACTGAGGGACAGGTCATAAAGCTTCAGCTCCAGATAATAATATTACGAATACAGAGGCAATTTATGCAAGAGAAGTTGAGTGTCTTAAATATTGCAGAACTATGAGGGAATTATTTTTAGAAATGAAAATTTCTTCTAGTATTGATGAATATGATGAGCATTTGATAAAAATTTCTCAAGAAGCTTTGAGAGGAAGAATTATTTTTCCTGACAGAAGCAAAATTATTGAAAGAGCAAAATTAATTTCTGATCATGCTGCAACAGATGCAATTGCTTTAGCAGCACAAAACAACGAGATATGAAAAGATGTTGGTAAATGAGAAGATTATGCTTCAACTAAACTTTTCAAAACATCAAGTTTAGATTTAAGAGCTGCTCAACACCGTGTTGATTCTCTAACAACTAAGATTAATGACTTAGAAATGGATGTTGTTTCCCTTACTATGGAAAATAAAGACCTAGAAGCAGAAAAAAAACTTCTTGAAGGTTGAAAAGATTTTGACAGCAAAGATTTACCAGGCAAGAAAGATGCCTTTGAAACACTTTATAAGAAAGGAAAATGAACTTGAAATGAAGTAACTCAAATGTTGAGTTTCCTTAAAACTATTAAAACCGAGATGAATGATGACACGGCATTTGAGACAGAATTTAAAACTAAACAAGATGTATTAACAAAGAAACAAAATGATGCTTCACCTTCATATACCCAAATCACTCAAAACTGAACAAATTTAAAACTTGAAAAAAATGGTTCGCTTGCTGAGGCTATTAAAGCCATTCTAAAAGATGAAAAAAAAACCGGTGTTACTTTAGAAAATATTGAAGAATGGTTTGTAGAATATACTAAACATTTTGAATTGTTGGAGGGTGAAAAAACTGATCGAGCAGAAATTGGAAAAGCGATTGCTAAACCCAATGATTACAAGGATAAAGGCGATTCTAAACTTGATGAAGCAGCGTTGACTAACTTGTTCGGCTTTACAGTAGAAAAGGAAGTAAA